TTGATTATGTCAATGGTAACTTTTTTTGGATCCCTTCTGAAGCTCTAATATAAGTCAATTATATCATCATTTTCTTAACTGAAATGTCAATTTTCCTGTGAAGATTTACGAAGATTGCTTGGTGGTCCATAGTTTTTTTGGGTGAATAGTGGTTCATAGTTAATGCTGATAAAGTTACAACTGACAATCCAGTGGCGAAAAGATATTGGTCAAAAACAGTATAAATAGTACCAAGAAATTGAGGGAAGTGTTAAAAATAATGAAAGAGGTCATTCCGAGCACATGATTTAAATGAGAAGCCTCCCTTAAGTTATTATCAACAGGAATATGAAAAACAGAAAAAAGGCAAGGGAAATAACTGAAAGCAGAACCCGCAGTAAACGACTGAAAATTTTTAATGTTTATTTTCTCACTAAGAAGTCCTCAATTGGAAAAAGTTGCCAAGAATTGATATAATATAAAACTACATCTTCTCAAGAAGGAAAATAAGGATTAAGGATGTTAGAGATCCAGACTCTGAAGAAGATTTCTGCAAAGAATATCATTTACAAAACGAGTTTCATTTATTGATATGTGAAAATATTCTATGTACATTTTATTTACCACTTACCTCTTCTTCTGCTATAGGTTAACTCTGTTCCTCTGTGTGGAATTGCTGCTTCAATGGATTATCTGTACCAGTAACATTCCTCAAGTCAAAACACTATATTCCAATTTAATTGTTTTCTCCCTCAGAAGATCACTTCCAGGCAAAGAGAAGAGATTGTCAACTCCTTATTTTCCCCCCCAAGTTACAAGAAATTTTGTAAGAAGCTTGCTCTCCTAGAAGGCTAGACTCCTCTTGAACAGTACTGAATTTTTCACAACTCTTGATCAACATTATAACTATCATAAAATAATCTTTTTATTCTGGTTAACGGCGTATGGGTCAGTTGACTGGGAGCAAATATAAATAAACCAAGTCAACCACCTAATTCTAAAAAAAAAAAGAAAAAAAAAATCAATCGCCTAATTTATGAACACGTCTCTCATTCATCCAAACTCTTGAAAGCTCTCAGAATCTGGTGAGTATCTCTATTGATTCCAGAAGTAGGGGCTAAAGCTTTGCTCCGAACTCTTGGTTCAGCTACTGATTGCTTTCATGTTATTGCTTAAATTAGACGATCCACCTCTGGTATACCTTATTGCCATGAACAAAATACTTGCCAGATACCTCCAAAACTATTAAATTTCTAAAATTAGCAAAGTTATAAAGTTTCCGAATAACTCCAAAACTTTCTTGCCATTCTCACCACAAATCATCAAAACCCTAATCTTCCTCAATGTATATGTAATTGCCTAATTTTAATCATAATCCTAAAATTACCAAGTTACAATATTCTCAGAACTCCAAGGGTAACTAAAAGCTGGCTTCCACCATCCTTCATACTAACTACTCCTGTATACTAGGATCATTATAAGAACTCTAAAACTTGCCAATACAAGAAAAATTATAAATAGGAAGGAGGTTGAAAACTTGTCTTTAATTTTAAGTTCCAGAGTTTGTTGCAGATTATGAAGTTCTCTTTACCTTTTTACTGTACAAAAGATATATCAAATGTAAGACAACTATAGATCTGTTCGTGAACAGTAACAAGAAAAAGATTTTGAGACTCCACCAACTTGTCGACATGCTGAACAGTCTGGTCAGCATTAGAAGTTGACTTAAGTTTCAAAAACTTAGTGGAGGATAAGATTAATTCAAGGCAACTTGAAACACAAAGATGATAGAGATAGATAGAACAAACGGCTGAAGTCAACCCAAATCCTCAGCAACTTCTTATTCCAACCACTTGGGAGTTGGCGAAAGAAAAAACAATTAGAACTAAAAGACATGAATTCTAAATGTCTAATAAATAGAGATCCAACAATAACATGTAGTTCTAATTAGTCCCTGTAAAAGAGCTGAAACTACAATCATGCCACAATTTCCTCTAGGCTCGCATGTCATATGCAAAGAGAATTGGGTATATGAAACCATGTTGACAAAACCTCTGATTGACAAGCACAACGCTATAATTATCATGACAAAGGAACTTGGTATCTACGAAGTGAGAAAAAAAATATCTAAATTATCAGTAATGTCATAAGAGCCTGAGATCATTTCTTCATGAATAGAGTTAGAGAGATTGAAAGAAAAACAAAATAAAATCAACCTTTTTTCCCTGAAAATTCGATGACGAAGTGCTGCATTATCCAGGGTAGGCAAGAAAATCATATAATTATGAAAAGCACAATTGCAGCATTCTCCACAGAAGATAGGAAGAAGAGCTTTAGGGGGTCAAGATCACAAAATAAGTAGAAGAATTGTTCCAGATCTATTGACAACAACCAACAAAGGCTGAAATTAAAGAAAACTAAAATGTGTTGAGGCTTATCTCCAGCTGGAACAACATATACATTGTAACAGAGAAGCAGCAGGTCCCGTTTCTCAAAACAATCACTGAGGAAGAACGTGAAGGAGAAAAGACATATGTTGGGGGGGGTTCGGCCAGAGAAAAGACTAAGACAGAAAGAGAAGAAAACAAAAACAGTAACCACTACCAATTTCAGCCTCAAACCTCGATAGGACTGTACAGTGAAGTTGTAAGATATTTTATCAGAGAAAATTTGCAGGAGCCGGAAGGAGATAAAAGAAAATAGTATCTAGAAATGCCAAGGCAGAAACATGTGCCAAGAGAAATATAAAGCGTAAACAATACATAGGAAACAAATCCAGTTTGGAGCACAAGAACTTACAAAAGGTCGCCATTGCAGGCAGAACACACATAGTTGAGAATAAAATCAGCAATTCGCAGGCGGATTCGACCTAAAACTCCTTCATACGCACGCGATTTGTGTCATATCTGAGCTGAGAAACGAGCAAAATGTGAGAGGAAAGAGAGAAGAAGAGGTCAAAATTTGAAGCGAAGAAGAATAGATAGAGAGATATCTCCTTCTTGCTCTGTGCGTATGTATCTAAACTTTCAGTCTCACTCACTCCCAAATCACGAGTAACCTTCCTCTCTGGTGTAATATAACTGGTAAGCCAATTGGTTTTTCACTTTTGCATGTGTAGAAAGAGAATATAGTACTCTGAAGACTCTCTCTTCCCCCCTCGCTCCAGCCTCCGGTCAAAATTAAAATTGAAAGAAGAAGAAGAAGAAGAATGAAGAAAAAAGTGTCGTGGAAGTAGTAATTTTCTTCTGTCGAGGCACTGTCCCTGTTCATCACCCTCGCCATTATTATTACGTTTTTCTCTTACGAATTTTTTATCTGTAAAAATTTTTAATTTTCTCAAAAGTTAGATTTTACTGCCAGTCAATTCATATATATACATACATATATATTAAATAAGAATTTTTATATTAATTCTGATTCAAAATTTAATTTTAAAAGAAAAATAAAATACAATGAAACAGAATTATAAAAAGTAAAATTAATTTCGAAGAAAATAATATTATTATGATGGGGTCAGTCAAGTTGAAATTTACAAAGTATATTTGGGAATGAAAGAAGAGTTTGTAATAAGGCCAAAGGATGCACGTGTACACCTGCGCTCTCACTATACATTTAACCATATAATATAATATAATATAAGATAATATATATATATATATGTATGTATGTATGTATTCCCAGAATGTTAATGCAAAAATACGAGATGCCATTTTCAAGAA